TAGGAAATATCAGCTTGAACAAACCGGTCAAGCGGATGCAAACTGTTTAATGCTTTCTGAAAACAAAGGCTTCGAAACGCTCCCCAAGGTTTCCAGAAAGTTTGGCAAGCATTGTTCTTTTCTATGATTTCCAACCCACCAGCAGAAGGTTGGAAGGAATTAATGGAAAAGGTCAGTCCATCAGCGAGACTTCTTTCTGAAAACACAACTGAATGGGAGCAGATTTGGTGAGAGGGAAAAGCCAAATAAAGAAAGGCTGAGGTCATCCATGGGCTGGACCAAGCCAGGGGGGCAGCAGAGGAATCATTTTTAAAAAATCACCCCCCAGATCCCCCAGATCACCCCCCAGATCTCTGTGGGAGAGGCAGATGGACAGCTGCTCAGAACATGGCCAACTTGTTCTGACCCAGGCTTTGTAAATTGTAATTATTCACGAACTTGTGTTAAAAACAAATCCTATTTTATTGCAAGACTGGGAATTGTTTTCATTCCCAGCCGGAGCTAATCTTAAATAGTCCCCCAACATAAACACCTGCCTTTCAGTTCTGTGGAATGCTGCCAAAAACAGAAGTATCCAATTAACTATAAAAGAAACCAACCGAAGTACAATAAAAAAAACTAACCAAAGTACACAGAACCTCAAGGAGGGCTCAGAATCTATTGAACTGCTTTGCTTCCTGCAAAGCTTTCGTCATCTTGGCCTTACTTTTATCCCTTATGGGAGGGACAATCACCTCCAAGCCTTACTCCCGAATCACCCCTTCTGTTTCCGTTGCTCTCGCCTTCTGGCAGTTCTGTGCACACGCACACTGGGAACAGGCTCCCCTTGTTCCTCTGCCTTGCTGCTGCCAGATTCTGGAGGCTCCGGAATCAGCACATAACTCCCAGATGCTCCTGGCCCCATCTCTGCATCGGACGCATCTTAATATTTGTGCTTTTATTATAGCGACGTTTCGGCAGAATCTCATCTGCCATCCTCAGGCTTGTGTATTGGGTTCTTTTTAATCTTGTGTGTCAAGCTTAGCAGCTAAGTGTGTGTGTGTAGCTGCTAAGCCTGACACACAAGATTAAAAAGAACCCAATACACGAGCCTGAGGATGGCAGATGAGATTCTGCTGAAACGTCGCTATGATAAAAGCACAAATATAATAGCTAGAAAAAGAGATTAGATGATAGGTAAGTAGGTAGGTAGGTAGACATAGAATTGATAATGGCTAGAAAAAGATGATAGAAAGTATTTAATTCACAGATAACAGCTAGAGATGATAGAGATAGATAGATAGATAGATAGATAGATAGATAGATAGATAGATAGA